TATGAAATGGGAGGCGTTTTCAAACTATCACGACAATATGGAGCCGACCTTTGCGCCATTACTGGTACAAATGGAACATAAGTACACTGAGAACCACAAATTTCGCAGAAGGTCACCACAGGTAAGTCTAGCTGCTGCTTGCACTGTAATTACTGGAAATCTTTCAGCAAAGTTCAACGAGCACTTTGCGAAAAAAAAGCGCCAGTTTGAAGTGTTTTGGCACGCATGAGGCAGGAGAACATGAACTTCCATTGCAAGTTATAATGATAGTCTGTTGTCAGGTACAGTTCAACATTAAGACAGAACGGAGACTTTTTGACGTTAGACGACCTTATCGCAACCATTTGCGTCGAAGCCTCAACTGTACTTGCCTATTTTGTGACTGCGCTTACTGTAGAGCCACGTCGCGTTTTGTCAGCGAGGAGGCTATCTGATTTGATTGTCATGTTTTTTTTTCACTACGCCGTCTATCAAGTAAATTGAACCCTGAAAACCTTTGATGGCATGAACAGTTGAATGTTTGTGCATCTTGATGTGCTCCTTGGGCGATTCTACGGTCTTTGATAGAACTGCTGTCGAACGCTAAATTTTTGTACACGATATTACCTTCATACAATTTTTGTTAGTTAAGCCTTGTTATGTGTTTGAAAAATGTCCAGTTTAACTTTTTTGCATTGCTGTTTAGATGCTTTGGCTGCTGCTTCTGATTTTTTAAAAATGGAAAGTGTTTACGTTGGCAGTTTGCATGCACGCAATTAGAATACATCATAACTGTTATTTAGTGCAATTTGCTTCTGAACATTGCAGACATTTGAAGACGTTGGTGAACTTGTTAAACTCTAACTCATGCACTTAACTCACTCGCTGAGCCAGTGGCGGTGCAAAGCACTTTAAATGTTTGGCCTACTCCGGGTGAAAAAGAATGTATTTGTATATGTTGAAAGGAGCTTGAAAAGTTTACTAAGCGTTCAATTAACTGAATGCTTCACCTAACGTAACCTTAGATTTAACCGATGGCGGCCGGAAGGCGGGGTTTTGTGACCTAATTAGGGCCGCTCGCGCCCTCGACGCAGTCCCGTCTCTCTCGCGCACATGCTCTCTGATCATTCTCTAGCCTTAAATAGGTCACAAAGCCTCACCTTCCAGCCGCCAAGCCAGTTGAATCAAAGGGTAACTCGTGAAAGCGACGATAGCTTTATTATCCTATACGAATGACTGGAACTCCTCGAAAATACTGTTACAAACGATTAGTCACGACAAGCTGGTGACTGCGAAAATTGAAGTTACATTCCCATATAGAGTTTCCCATATCTTTGGGTTCGTTTTGAATAGTACAATGCGCAGATTACTCACGCGAAAGAGTGCTTCGACTACGCGCACGGTGCTTGATATAAATAGCTCACATAAAATCGACTTTTCACCAGGACTACTATGCTATGGCAAATAGTTTTTGTCATCATTTCATATTTGCACAGTTCCTATGCTTGTAAACCAGTGTACTTGCAACAGGTGGGTTTCTATGCAAGCAGCATTGCAACTTTCGAACTCGTTAGAATTATTTTTAGCAGTGCATGGATATGATTGAGGGATGTGCAGAAGTTCTAGCAAAAGGGCAGTGCTTAACAACGACTGCACGGTACTGTCAGCGATCCTGCGGCTACTGCCTATAAACTATTCATAAGTCTGAGCGTTCATAATCAAAGTGCAATATGTACTAGAAAAAATTACCAGTGTGCCAGATTTCAGATGAAATCCCTTACATTGATTTGATTAAAAGTTGTGGTCTTCATTGTTTTAGCTATTAGAAGTGTTCATGATGTTGGCAAAGAATTGTCCATAATTCTGTATCGATTGAATCAAATTGCGAACATTGACTTCTATATTATAGGATAAAACATTTTGCAGAAGATCTCATCTGTCATCTTCAAAATGTCCGCTAATGGCTTGTACAAGCATTCTCTTCGGCAAATTTTTTAGATTCATTTCCAGTTTTATGCCTTCAACAAATTTTTTCCAATTTGGAAGGCCTAGAGAAGAATACAGCGCTTTTAACAGCGCATGAACCAAAAGGTGCACTGAAAATCGCTTGATTTTGGTTGATAAAAAGGAACGTTCAAGTTTTGTACATTTAGTAAACAATCCTCATATGATACTGTACTGATTTGGAGTGTGACCATACCGATACAGGGCATGGGCAGGTTGGATTTGTTTTGGCAGCAGAAGATTCCGTTTCCTACATTTTTCCTCCCTCCTCTCTCAAACACTATTTCATGGCTATTGTCACAAGAGTCATACAGTGATGCATTCCTCAACATTTACCTCCCCTACAGGTACTCCCCCTACCCTATTTTCATTCTAGCTCCTCATATCTTTGTGGATGACACACTTGGTCTATTATGCTTGCAACCCATTCTCGGCAAAACTAACATGTTCAAGTTCCAATGTGCTTTCATGCCAGCGGTATTCAAACTTTTCTTTTGAACTTGGAGCACTCCATGAAAAATTATGAAGATGTTATTTGAACTGAAGCGTAGTAAATTGATTAAGAAAAAGAGTGGCCGTGAGCCACTTGGCGAACCACCTCAGATTGTACGGAGAACAAAGTCATAAAACCCTTTTTCTCATAATGTTCACTCTTCTTACTTGTATTTAGGTCTGACTATCTGTTTCACACGCACCGTGCAACATTTAGTGCAATACATATCAAACCCTACAAAGTAATTCTTTGAGACGCGTCCACCCTGAGCTAGGGATTTTGAGCTTTTGGCAGCTTATGGTAGCGCCAGACTAACCGATTACCAGCTTCAGAAGAGGCGGCGCAGTTACTGTCATTTGATGTCACGTACTAGGAAATCAAGTCGATGTGGGCGATTTCGCTAAAACAATATTTAACTGCCAAGGCCTTTTTTCATTCTCTCGTTTTGCTTTTTTACTATTTCTTCAAAACTACTGTTGTTGCGAACATCTAGACGCCACTTCGGTTTTCGTCCGACATAATACCAAATGACTACAAATCTAAGTTGAAGCCAGCTCTACAAAAATGATGTACTTGAAGGAGTAAAAATCTGCTATGAAAGAGAGATATTGATAATCAAACATTGTATATATACTTACCTTTGGGACACCTTGTACAAGATAAAATAAACCAACGATTTTTATGAAGCAAAAAATGCAAGTTCAGGCGATTAATTTTTTTCGAAGCTCATCCTTTTCATGTGGAGCACCCTGTGAGATCTCTCTTCCCGTTTTAGCCCTTTCATGCTTGGACGCTGCAAACCCTTTTTGGCTTTACTAACAGTGTAAGTCACTTTTATTATGCCTAACGGAAACTCGACCGCTGTTACAATTACGAGATGCAGTCCAGGCACAAAGTGCCTCCAATAGATTTTGCCTGCCCAGATAACAATAAACCGCCTCTTTCAAGACTACAAAACAAGAAAAATCTTATAGCTGTCCACGTGGAATTTTTCCCAAACTGTCAGATTTCATCTGACAATGAGATCAATTTGAGGAGGTCGAAATATGCTGTGTCAAACGCAGATTATCTTCATTTATTAGGTTGTCCCAAAAGTAAACTCCATTTGTAATCAAATTAAGCTGTTTTTGTTTTCCTGCTAGACCTAGGGTACCATTCGATAGAGCGGAGCAAGCTCTACAAAAGGACCACTAAAGATCCACCTAATACTAATCCAGGTAAAATTTGGGACCAAAAGTCGAAATTTTTTAGCTACCCTAAAAATCGGATCTCCTTTCACAAATTTCCCACTTACTTCCAACTTGGTCTCTATATAGTAAACATATAGCAGTACTCAAAAATGTATTTGGCGGATTTTTTTCCGGGGCTCAAAATTGAGAAAAAAAGGTGGTCCAAAAATGCCAAAATGCCACTTTTTTCGGGTTTTCTATGTAAAACTTGGTATTTCTCGATTATGCGGGCACATACATGGGTAAGGTTATAGGTTTTGGAATTTGGAATTATACTTAGTAAGGCTTGCAGTATACAATTACATATGTGGGAGGGGCTGGGGCGTAGTTTGCCATTTTTGGACATTTTTCATTTCTCGATTTCTATGCTCGGAAAAAATCAGGTAAAGGCATATTTGAATACTACTATGTGCCTACTGTATAATGACCAAGTAGGAGGTCCGTAGGATTCTTTATCGCAGAAATCCAGCTTTCAGGTGACAAGTTTTTTCTTTGATTTTGGCTTCAAATTTTTCATGGAATGCAATGTAGGCGGATTCTTGGTGGGTGTTTTGTAGAGCTTGATCTGCTCTATTGAATGATATCCTAAGTTCACTGGGAAAACAAAAACAGTTTGATTTATTTAAAAAAGGAGTTTACTTTTGGGACAACCTAATAGCTTGCAAGAGGAAGAAGGTCAAATTAAAACTTGATTGACAATACAGTAATCAAAAAATTAAACTTTTGTGCACTATTCAAGTGTCTCGTGTTAAGTAGTAGGATTAGGATTCTACCACTTGTACCTCTGCCTCACTTTCTGTCAACGCTTCTCTACTTTTCTTTTTGCGTAGTAAAGAAGAAATCAGTGATTAGTGTGAACATTGTCTGACGTCCTCTTATTTTTAGGCATCTCAAACTGAATACCTAAATAAAATGAATTGCGTTTGCCTGAAGCAGATAGAGTGACTGGTAAGTTTGGCAGATTCTAGCTCATTTCAGCATTGCGATTGATGTCAGCGGATTGGATGTAAAAAGGGCAAACTTGCATGATTTCTTCAAAGCTGTATTTTTTTGGCTGCGTGCATAAGCTTCAACGACGGCAGAATAGGCTCCTCTACAGAAGCTTATAACACGGCTTTATCAACGGAGCGCAAGAGACACAAAATGAAAAATTCAATATACTCATTTCTTCACAAAACGAGTTAAATCACAGCAAGCTCAGGAGCTTGTAGGCTGATAAATATGAAGATTGATTCTAATTTTCTTGTCTAAATCTTGGACTCTATCCTTGCAAACATAAGTCTTTTATTCGGACATCATTTCTAATTTACATAAAAACTTTGCAAAACCGGGTAAACTGGAAACTGGGATGATTATGAGTCAAACCAGTCTTTTACACTAGGCATAATGACCATAACAATACAAACTTTTACATAAAGATTACTCAAAAAGATTTCTACAAAACTGAGATGTATCAACAAGTCAAAGCTCTTCGCATAGGTAAAATGGTACGAAAAAAGTGATTGGGAAAACCTAAAGATTTTCATTCCATGAGAAGTAAAGGAGATAATGGATGTTGGGAATCAGAAGACATAAAAATAAACAGCATTCTCTCAATATTGCCCTATTGCCGCTTCTCGTCCTGAGGTACACTTGTGTACAGGCCATGCAATGGTTGCTTCTCCTCAGGCAAATCTGAAAAGACGCTTGTTATTAATGATAGTAAAAAACATAGGTTACTACGATGATGGGCAAATATAGGCTAAAGATTGCGCTTGCATCTACAACATGGTATTCACATGCACACAACGGTGGTACTGGAATAAAAATGAAAACCTTAGGGAAAGTGAGAAGCAAACTATTAGAGAATTTCTGAAAGCAGCAAACATTCACGGAATGTGCTTCGGTTCCAAAGAAGTAGCTGTTTTCCGCACACACCAGAGCAGCTGTTGCAGCAGCGATAGAGCGATGGAGAAGACAGTTTATACAGCGAAAGAGTTTCAAGCAGTCAAAAAGGTGAAGGGAGGAAAGGGTCGGTGAATATCAAAACCAACCATCGTGAACTTTGCTATCATTGGAGGCAAAATTTGGTGGAGGCATTGCTAAAACAGGGTGGATAGCAGCCTTTGAAACTCTGCAAAAGCCTACTTACCTATTGACATATTGCGCATTGGATGAATGCGATCGTGAGCGATAAGGTCATCTTTGACGTAATGATAGACGATGCCAGCACCAAAAGCATCCCCAAGTACGTTGATCGAAGTACGAATTCGATCTCTGCAAAACGGCTCGTATTTGCCGATGTTTAATATGGACTAATGTTCCTTTCACGGAAAAACCAACAAAAGTTTTTTTTTGATATTGCTAGGTAGTATAACAAATGTTGTAATCCTTCCTATGATAGGTTCCAATTTTGAATAACCAAACTTATCAATATCTTGTCATACTTACCAAATTTTATTTTTGAAAGAGTTGTTATCTGATTTTCAAGCACCTTTAATAACTTACAATAACCAGTCAACGGCCACAATCAATGAGACGTCTTTCACTGGCAGACCAACAGCCGTCAATACTAACAGCATCGTAACCAGACCGGCTGAAGGTACGGAAGCAGCACCAATTGAAGCAAGTGTAGCAGTCAAACTAAACTAATGAATTTATTAAGGCAAAATGAATCTTTGGAACTGCAGCACCTGACAGTGACTACTTGTCCGAATGACAAATTGATGCCATTCATTTGAGCAATGAAGATGGCAGCAACAGCTTCATATAGAGCTGTTCCATCCTGTAATGGTATGGTGATGCTTAATGTGTACGAAATATTACAGCTAATCTACTGGTCACACATTGCTCCAGCTGCCTGTTTATGGACTAATTTTTTGCCTAAAAATGTGCGTAAGACTTCTAAACCTTTTCAAAACAGGGGTAAGTGTCAGTAGTCGCTGGTCTAGAGATGAAAGAATATTCGAAAAGGCCAAAGAATTTGGCGTCTTCGATATGTTCTGGTCAAGCGTCGAACGTTATCAACTTTGTAGTGCAAAGGCAGTTAAATGTGTGCGAGCCTTTGCAACGAATTGCAGGAGCCAGCCGACCAAGTCAGTGCTTTCCTCCCATTACTTCAGTATCAAATGCCCGGCGGGTAGAATTCTTGTAAGCCCCCAGGACGACCGCTTGATCCAGCCTGGTCATAGCGGCACCTCATACCACTGCGCAGCTCGCACTTGATTACAGCGCTGAATTGTGATTACATGAAGATTTTTAGAGGCATGTCAAAACACTAGTTCAAATTGCTTTCAAACTTCACGAAAAAAATTTAGGACAGTTATGAGTGTTTTTCGCGCAGAGTTCACAAGCGTTGAAGATTACCAAAATTGGAGATGCCTCCGCTCTACACAATCTGCAATTAGCACTGTTTGACGCAAATTTATGGCGTACTGGCTGGCTTACCCGAGTCCGTCCGGCCTGTAAACACTCTGATAAAGGTCCCATACCCCTGTGCCCACTTCTACGTGCCAATTTCCTTTCCCCGTTTTGTTTTCGAAATCAGCATGCTCGATTACCCCGTGTACCAACTCTTAGCCTCGTAGACCAAACTTTGCACACAATAAAATCGATAAAGGTAATGGGTATTTACAAATGGTTGTAATATCCGTAATCAACATGCTCACACATGTCCCTATGCCAATTCCCTTCCCCTTAGTCCAAATTCTGCAGAAAAAATCGAAAAAAATCGATAAAATCGATATTGATCGATAACGAAAAGTCGCTTATGTCACGCCGCTCCCTGCCCCAAAGTACATGTGTGCCAAGTTTGGTCCAAATCGATTCGGAATTAGAATTCTATTCCGCACATAACATACGTACACATTATACAGACATTCACAGACATTCAGCTTTATATATAGGATAATCAGTAATCCAAAAAGTAATGGCCTAATTATTCACAAACTTCGCGCAGAAAAAAAAAAGAAAAAAGATCAACCCTACATTTGCTGGCAATTCAGCTTCAGAGGACTGCATTAACAGCGCAAAGTATATCTCTACTACTCCTGTTAGAGGATGTCTTCAAATCTTACATTTCTTTCTTGCAATTGGTGGTTGATAGTTGGTGCAAGTGTTACTGTATTTTGTTGCAGTACGAGCACTTGCGTAGTATAGGATCAAAAGAAAAGTTAGTAGCCTTCTCAGCACTTGCTGATTATAGCAAATTGCTGAATAGTCATATTATCTCCATGTTGACCAAAAAAGTGAACTTTATGTAAGAGTAGCTGCTGTTTAAGATTACATTCGTTTACAAAAACTTTTGCGGGGAAAAGCAGGTTTGAAAGGTTGAATAAGACTTATGCTAGTTTACCATACTCTATTTGTAATGTTTATGGAGGTGAAATATCACCTTCAAGTTAATCGGCTTTGTTAAATGACGCGGGCAAAAGCATCGACGATACGCTATGTTCAATTTTAGACGTCGACCTCACGGCTAATGAATGACATGGGAAAGTAAGATGAGTACCAAAGTCCACTTTTTAGAAAGAACTGCCGTTTGCACATTCTTCTGGTGACTTAACGTCGTAAACTGTAAACTGAGAAAGTCACCAGATACTTACTTAAGTAAGTAAGTATCTGGTGACTTTCTCAGTTTACAGTCTACGATGTTAAGTCATGCTTACCATATTGATAGTAGCTCCAACTGGAAGTACGAAGCGCGTTACTCTCCGATCCACGCCTAAATTCTCCTCCAAGCAGTTGTAAGTGATAGGGAGAGTGGCTGAGCTGAAGGAAAACATTCAATTACTGAACACCTTCAATCAAATCAGACCTGGATGCAGTTCCCAAGGCAGTGATCCAAGCCTGGAGCAATCCCCGCATAAACATATAAGGATTTTGCTTCGTGGTAAGGAAAAACAGCAGAGGAAGCGATATGAGTGAATGAACGGCCAGTCCTGATAAAACCTGCAATAATCAGCGGCCTTGGAAGATTGGTAGCTGGTTTTGAGCAAAGAGATTACTCACTGTGACCATATACATGGCCAACATTCTCGCCGTATCTGCTAAATCGTGGATTTCTAAAATTTTGCCCATTATCAAGCACATGATTCCAAATGGAGAGTACCTGAAAGTGTAGTCAGTAAGCATTTTTCTATCATAATCTTTCTATGATCTGTTATCAATATCCAATATTTGATGCCACCCTTTCGCATCACTCTACTTTACAGTAAAAATGCAACAGCGAGAGTTTGTAGGAAAAGGCGCCACCCTCATCGTAAAGCAGCTCATTGCATTTGAGCCCTTAAAGGCACCGTCCACCCAAATTCTCGACTTCCAGGTTTCTCTTGTTTCAGGGCCTTCTCATGTCCCTGATTCCAGATATGAAGTCGAGAATCCGCGAAAACCCCGACAATTCCCATTCCGGAGAGCCTATAGGCCGGTTTTTCAGAACGGTGATTTGTGAGCGCGCACAAATGGGCGGGCATGGATGGGGAGGGTCGGGCATGGATGGGGGTCCTCGTGCTTCTTCGCTAATCCGAATTCTCGCTTCCGACGCGGCATATTGCGCTGCGACTTGGGCATTGGCTTGATAGGAGGCCCTACTATTATGTGCTGCCAAAAGCTCAACACCCTCAATTTAGGGTGGACGGTGCCTTTAAGCTGTTTCAATGCGCGCGAAGGTAAGGCAGCGACTTTTTTGCTGAGCTAAACTTAATGCACAAGTTTTTAGGGCGACTTATGCTTTGATCAACAGCTTTTACCTCTCTGCTCAAATGACTTAGAACTCACCACATCACTGTCATTACAAGTTTCATTATCACCTTGTCCATAATCGCAAAAAACTGAATCATCACATCAGCTTCGGCTCCAAGTTGTGACAATGAGATACCAAGGGCGATGCAGAATACAATGATACCTAAAAAAGAACTGGTAGTTACCTTTTGCGTCAGAGCTTGTGCGTCGATCACATAATCTGCTGTTAGGAAAACATGCGTAAGGGGTACTAATGTTTGACTGGCTATTCATTGTCGCACGCAAACAGAGGGTCAAAAACATGGCTTCATGAAGTACTCTTATGTTTATACTTGTACATTGCAAACGTATCCATAAAGTCAAGTTTGTTGGCATATTTGTTGTGTTGACATTAGCTCCTGCAGAATATTTACTAAGCAAAGTGAAATGCCGACTGTATGTCATCAAAACAATCTTTTCCTTGAGGCAAAATAACTAACAGCTTTTTTGTAGAATACGATATAAAGAAAAGGGTTAGCAGGAGAAAGGCACTTACGAAAAGGTGAAAAGATTTTGAGTGACTGAATCAAATACACATTTTGCCCATCACTTTCAATAAAAGGACACTTTGTGATTGTAGTGATCATTGTAGTGAGACACATATAACTAGTTGCGTTTTGAAACGCTGCTTCAAAATCTGCTACGCGATTGTCTGAAATAAGTCAAGATCGTTTCTTATATAGGAATTTGCACTATTTCAGTTAAGCAAAACAGTGAGTATAGCTTAAATTTTGTTTCGCTCCCCGGAAAAACATCTGAAGAAGAGTGCAATCACTTCAAGCTTGAATAACCTGCCTCACTCGTTTCACCCTCATAAAACTCAAATATCAATGATTCTGATTCCGCATTATGTGCAATTTGTGGAAAAAAGCTATTTCAAACTATCGTTCCGCAGATAACAAAAGCCGAATTGTGATCAGCGTTCTAAGACGCAACTGGTATATGTGTCTCATTATGCAAGAACAGTCACCAAGTATCCTCCCGCCAGACTCCTCATAGAAGATGCGGCGCGTGTCTACCAATTAGCAAGGTACGCAAGTTACTAAAAGTTCTATGCAGATTGAGATTCGCGCGGATATTTCGCAGTCATTTGTGAAGCATACATTGTTCTACAGATAGTGTTCCATGCGTTTTACTATGACGTTGCGCTGTAGCAGGAAAACCCATTATTTTGCGTTAACTAATAACTACAGTTTTTTCTAGCCCTCGACTCCGTTACAAAAATGGAAAACGTTGATTTTCACTCACTGAAGCTTACAGATCAACAGTTGCACCAGAAAACTTGCGCTTGTTTAATCGACGGTTCCCGCTGTTTACTACGCTACTTTATATCCTACATTTCAGCTCTTCACAGCATTACTACCAGTTTCTTCCAGATAACTATGGTTTTCAATCAGGCACAGCACAATGCAGGCATTCAACTGACACAGCACAAACTTCTAATTCAAACTTTTCAAAACCATAAACTTTCGCACCATCTGTCACGTAGATAGAGGTTCATGGGTGCGATTTTGATTTAGGAAGGGAAGGGACATACATGCCGAGGGGGACTGGGGTGGAAAGAAGGAGAATAATTGGTACAGAGGTGCGTGAACAATTTTTCAAGGGAGGCTTGAGAAAATTGCTTGAAATGTCATCAAACAGAGACTTTTTTAACGTAGCAGGGAACGATACTTGGTGACCCCCGCCATTCATAATGGTTTGTATATCAAAAAATGCGCCTTTTAATGCTAGTTCTAATACTGTTTTCCATATCTGCGAAACGAGAACCTGGATGGAGTTATGAATATTTTTTCAAAAATGAATTGCGCTACGGCGGAGGGTGAAAATTAATAAAAAGTTTTCTTCCTCTTCAAATGCTGAATATGGTTTAGATAGGTATAAATACAACGTTACACCTTTCAAGATTCTCCTCAATAGCTTCAAACGGTAAAACAGATCAAATTGGGTGATTTTAACTACTTAAAAGTACGCAAATTTCCTACGAAAAATGTTCATAACTGCCTTCAAATGATCGTTTCGCAGATTTCGAGCACAGATTACGAATCAGCGTTTTGAGATGCACCTTATGGTATACATCGCATTCCACATGGCCTAAGTCACCAAGTAACCTTTCCTTGTTAGGAAAGTTTTAGTTCTCATCAATTCGACATACTGTTCAAAAACTTGGAACATATAGAATCGATGTAGACCGTCTCTTTCCCCAGCCCCCTGTGAATTTCACATATAAAAAGTTTTATTTAGCCACAACACAGATTCTAGACAATCACTTTGCGCTCCATTTTTGAAATAAAGAGAAAAGCTAGAAAAAAGAGATCGTCTCTGTTTACAGGCAAAGTCTTGCTCTGTAGCACCGTTAGACAATTAGGTACTTTATTCATTCTTTGCATAAAAATTTCTTTTCAAAAAACACGCATGTTTTCAACTTAAATGCCATGTATCTTCGAATAGAGGGAAGTGTAAAAAAGAGACGGTTAGAGGCAATGGCTCGGGAAAATTGCGACTGGGGGCTTTCCACAAATACATAGCCTTCTGGACCAGCTGAGTCAGGTGCTGTGATTGAAATGTTGAATATAAACAGCAGCTGGCTGCAGAATACTGTAACTTCATCTATTTTGGCAACAATCAGCTGTTCAGCCCAGGCAACCAAGGCGATACAGTTGACGGAAATCCCTCGCCCCGCCTCTCCAGCAATCTCCAAGGACGAGAAACGCCAAGAAAGTCCTTTTTTAAATTTTCAAGCACAGTACCTGATTCATCTGGTTCAGAAGGATGTGTTTGTGGAAAGCTACACTCACGATTTTTCCGAGCCACTGCCTTCAATGTCGAATCTCCGTCTTATGAGCTTCCTGTGGTTGCTCCACCCCGCCCCCTCGATGGCTTGGCTTCTAGTCGCCGGAGCAAGTTTTTTTCGGAGCGGGGAAGCTTTATGCACCAACATTCATATACCATTCGATAGCTAAAAGCACGAGAAATCGACCTAGACCGTCTCTTATTTCCAGCTATTCTGCAAAGGAGATATGAGGAATTTTGTCTAACTGTAATATCTGCTAATTTTACAACTGTTTTATTTCATTCTTAAAACAAAAACGGTTTTTTCAAAGTTTCGACTGTAAATGGAAAGCAGCAGCAAGTGTTTCCAATCAAAATGTGCACTATTCATCATAGGTGTTTTATTCTGTCCTTATGCCTTAACACTAATCCCAACTTCAGATAAAGGGGGTCATCCAGATGCCGGCCCAAAACTGAAAGGGGGCATAGAAGTTGCTTCACCTATCGCACCTCCAATTTGGACTTGAATGCTGCAAGTGTTACACAGTTTACACAAGCGCAAATAGGATCAAAATAAATGGCTCTTTGTTAATTCTTGCGTTCACTCAAAACCGCATGAGGTAGGCGCCCATAAAGCGACGCAGAACACTTGAGATTTCAGTGCACGTCGCATAGCATGGAAGTAGTTGCGAACGTGTTAAATGATTTCGAAGCAGAAACTTACCCGCAAGATAGATCAGATTTATAAGACTGAGTAACTGCTACAGATTTTTTTAGAAAAGTTTTCAAAAAAGTGAATAAACATGAACATTCTGACACCCTTTCGATTGGATGACTAAGAGCAAAATATGAGGTCACGACATCGACATTCAAACACAAGGCTTTCTACTCCTACAGTCATGAACGACATGCATTTGATCCAAATACAATGCAACATCAACTTCGTTCTGTACGTCAGTCCTCTACCACATGTCACTGACTACTCACCTAAAACGTTAAGTCCATCCGTTGCCACAATCACAGGCTTTTCGACAGGCGGTTTTCTATCTGCGTGGAAAAGGCTCTACGTTAGATCACTATGATTCATGTGCTCATGTGTAAATGAACCCTGACTTTGAGCGAGTTAAAACAATGATTGTGGATATAAACTTGATTGATTGTGGATGATTGCAGAATACGTAATAAGAAAGAGAATGAAAATCATCTTGGCCATTCTCAAAGCATTATGGTACATAAAGGATTTGATGTATGGTAATTTAAACCCCTGAAAAGTCGCATTTTTGCTTTCCCCATTCGCATGAATGTGCATACCCCACGTATAGATAGGCGACTAAACACTTTCATATGTAGCGATTACTGATGAGAAATTTTCTGACTCAACTTAGTGCATGGATTTAATAAACTTATAGCCGAAAGGAAGTGCTTTTATGCAAACTGATGTACAAATGGCAATAATGACACGTTAGCAATGGTACGCCAGTTTGTGATGAAGAACTCCATATTCGGTAAACGTCACCCAGTAAGTTTTTACAAACGCTACATTGGCACTTTTTCAGAAGCAGCACGATCGAAATTTGCTCGCAATGTAATTGAGTTGCAAGGGCCACATTGTCGGCGCAAGCATTGGCAACGTGCCAAGTGCTCTGTGCATAAGCAGCGTTGACCACGTGATCGGTGTACTGCTGCTAACGCTTGGCACAGTAGCATGGAGTGCCCTATAGGCGGTTCCGACAAGAAATCGCGTTACTTGGAGCTATGCCTTCCACTTCACCATCGTGTAGGCATTTCGAGATTGTTTTTGGTCTTACCTTCAGGGTTGGGCCAGACTGCGCGGCGTACGCGACGTACGCAGCGTACGCCGCGTATGCTCCTATGATGAAATATACCGAGCGTACGCTGCGTACGCCGCGTACGCCGCTTCCCCGCGAAGTCTGGCTCAACCCTCAGTTCGAATGCAATATTTCCCAAGATTCGCTCATGTAAGTTTCAACTAAACCATGTGCTTATAGCATCAATAGTTACGTTATGGTTACTAATCTATATACGATCAACATGCAAAGAGATTTGAACCCGGACGATCCTGTCCGTGAGACAGACAGAAGACCTTCACACAATCGTTGATTCATAGGTCAATCTTTCCGTTTTTCGAAAAATCTGTTTGCTGAAAGAGTTTGAGTTCTGCTGGCAAGCACCTTCAAGGAGTAAAAGAACATAGGCAGGCTTTGTTGCACCTGTTGTGAACATTTTTATGCTTCGTCATTCTTCCGTTCGTTTTACATCTGAACAATGGAGGCTGCGCATTTCAGAACGTTTTGAGAGCGTTTTCGAGTATACACTATCAAAAAATTCTGCGAAATGGATGGTAACAACAAGCTGTTCCACGACCCGTTGAAATATAAGAAATTCTCGGATGAAAGGATTTGAACATGGAAACCGCAACAGGGTCGGCGCACTGCACTTTGTCATAACAGTCTGAGAACATCTACGGCTTGAGCGTTTGTAAACTCCCACTGAAGGCGTTTAGCAGAAAATGAAGGCACGTGCAATATCAGGATGTGCATGTCTCACATCAAAGGTTTCAGGTGAATACACTGCCCTGAGGGGTTGTCTAGGCGTAGCTTCACTAGCTTATTAATGGATGATCAGATACGCGCTCCACGCCCACTAACACTTTTCACAACTTGAAAAATTCAAAACTTGTTTGGCTCTTGTCAAACATAGTCCAAAGTTAGCAAGCTGATCTCGTCCGAGAAAAATAGATAAAGAAAGCGGTAGTTTGATTAAGAGCTGCTTTCAAAACGTAAATAAAGAGTAGAAAATATAGTTGAAGTCTTCTACTTACCAAGCACATTGATACCGTCGTTGTACTCAAGTGCAGCTTTCACATAGTCGAGCGTGCCATTATTAAGCAGAGCGAGATGAATCGTATCGTTCACCTTCAAAATTTTCGGTCGCACCGTGACATACTTCGTTTGCGCTTGTTGAAATGTGGCTGCTACAATGTTCTCCGGGAACATATTCCTTAAAGGTAATTGTGTGACATAGTGCAAAATCCACATATGCTTTACCTCAGTAGATCCAAAAGAGTGTCGAGAGTGCTAACTTTTTTCCCTTCAGTGCCCTCTCCAAGGTCCTGCTTTATGCTTGGATCTCCAGGGTGGATGGTTAGTACCAGGATAATGCCTGTCTATAATCCTTTCATGTGAATATTTCTACACAGTTGCTAAAACCAGCAATAACGGCAAAATTTATGACACTTGCAAGAAAAGCGAATAAAACTCATGGTCTCAAATCTTTGTGAGAACTTACTATGACAGCAATGACTGTGGTTAGGACATAATACGTTATTGCCAGTGATCCCATTTTTCCCGACTGTTTTGCATCAAGTTGAGCAAGACCTGAAAAGAAGCAAATTTATGTGTATTTCTGATTAACGCTAACCAGCTTATGGTTTGTCAGGAATCGTGTAGATTACGAACTCTTGATGTTGATTCTCTAAACCGCGTAAAGAAAAATGCTTTTTATGCTGCATAGCAAAAAAGCTTTGAGTTTTTTGTAAGTACCTACACTGACGGCATCCGAGTATGATCCCTTTTCATCTACATGAATCCCAATCATGATTTCATGAATGAATCAGATGATTACTTTAGAAACAAATGCGCATCGATGATAACCGCGCTCTTGTCTAACTTAACAATCGCGGGCTGCAGCCTGCACCTACATATGTTGGCCATGGTTGAGCAAGACTCAGTGTAGTCCTTTTTTTCGGTACAGCTACGACTGACTTTACTGACTGACTAACACCGCGTTGAAGGAAGGTTTGTTTTTTCATCAACATGTACCAGTTGCGAGACGAGGTCTAGACTCGTCCCGCGACTGGAACTGGCGTTGGTGCGGGACGTGGTCTAACTCGACAACTCGAAGAGACGTCTGGCGGTCTGGTCTCGCAGACTGCAATCTACTTTATGGCCTCAACGATTTTTTTTTTGAAAAGTGAGGCCAATAAGTTGCACCGTATAGACCTGGGGCATGATATCGTATAACAGTATGACTTCTGATATTCGTGATTCTAAGCATTATAAAGGCAGTTCAAAGCCTATATCTTAAAGGCTTCCTTCACAGTCGTAACGTATATTTCCATAAACGCTATCGCCGAGTTAAAGACAAAATAAGTACCAACTATGCAAGAAAATCGCCAACTTGCATGCAAAGTACCATCGAACTTACCCATGGGAACCCAGGTGTGAATACCAGTGAATCATGACACGGTTGTAAGTTTCTGGTTGCTTTAGCGGAAACTAAAATTGGTACAAACTTTTACCCTACGAACTATGGCCCGTAGTAAACCTCTAGTGGCCGTATTCATCAACGAAACCCGTGGGTTCCGGAACCCACTGGGTTAGTGCTTTTGATGAATATCGATCCTACTCCAGAGAAGAATCGATATTCATCAAAAGCATTAACCCACTGGGTTCCGAAACCCACGGGTTTCGTTGATGAATACGGCCACAGTTCACATGATATGAACTGAGAGCCTCAGGTGAGGTCCCTAAGGTCTCATAAGCGGCCATTCCCCATGCTATGAGAATACGTGGCCTGACAGGTGAGCGTCAGAGCAGGTGACGCGATGATCTCACCTGACTTCTGTAAGAGCAGTATCCGTTTTGAGATGACCTTACGAAATAGTTTGCGAATGACGAAAGCCAGAAAAAAAAATCCCGTAAGTTGCTCGCGAGTAATGTAACATAATACTGCGGATAAAAGTGCGACACTGCACAATTGCGGGGACGTACGGGGGAACTGACAGTGGGCCTACTACGGGCCATCTGTACTGATTCTGATCTCCGCTAAAGTAATCAACTAGAAGATATCAAAGACCCGCACGAGGAAAATAGTAGACTAGTTGCTGATGTAAGAAGGTGTTGCATAAGCTTACATTTCATTAGCTAAACTCTTGCAGCGCATGTTACATCATTTCGGTAAATGCTTATGAATTATCCCAACCTCGGATACTTTTCTATAGGATCATTTGAAGATGTAGTTACCTCACCTGAGATGAGCGAACTGATAATAAGCGGCAGAATCATCATCTTCAACATCCGCATCAGCAGCTCTCCGGGAAAACTCACCAGCATCACCGCCTAAAGAATTTTGATCCGTATAGTTAAAAGTAAATATCCAAGAATATTGGTATAAATTTCCGCCGAGCAGCATTCTAACAATTTTTGTAGATCGTCTTTTTTTAAAGACTGTCAGTGATGAGTAATTACCATTAAATGAACTTATCACAAAAAAAATAACCTATCAAAATAGCAACTGAACATGTTTGCTGGAAATCGGTAATGTATGTAACTTAACACGTGAACTGCATGGAAAATGTTACTATATAGTTCCTTCTTTTAGTTTCATTCATCCTATTTCAAGTATAGTAGTGAATATGTTAAAGCAATAGTACTGGCTATACAAAAAATGTTAGAACAAGGAAGTTTGAAGATTACTTCTCAGAGGTCTTTTGATGAATTCTTCTTGCTAAAAAATCTTATTTTCATGATGCAAAGTCTTTTACAGTCTATTTTATCAAAAATCATTAGGTAGCCAAAGACCCAGCATTTGCGAACTTTGCCATTTATATTAGGTTGGCACATAAGTAATGCACCTTTCTATATAATTTATGTCTTTTTGTACGTGGCGCATTTTTGGCAATATAAGGATTGCAATATAAGGATTATGATGTAAACAACTGCAAATGCGGACATTTCTGCCAAATTTTGCCATCTTATGGAAGGTTACGGTAGGTTTACGGTGCAATGGGAAAATCTTTAGATTGCGTCCGATTTTGCTGAAACTTGGCCTATGGGGGTTATTCGACATGCTGATCATAAAAATGAGACCCGTTTCGCACGAAAAGGCCTCTTTTGTAAGATCAAAAAATGAAATTTATCTTAGCGACAACTGAATATGATTTTCGTGTTCACTGTATTGGATTACCCTATTGTGCAAAGATTTAGCAAATTATAAGGTTTCGCAGCTTATTCATTGACAGATTGCCCTCAAAACGTGACGCATTTGACTTGTTCTACTTCTCAAAGGCGCCCTATTCTAGTTTGTCTTTGAGTTTCAATTCTTTCTTACTGATTTTAATGTGTCAACTTCTAGCTACATGCTGCCTACGATTCCTTCTCGATATGTTTGATTTAGGTTTTGTACGGCTTCATGTTTGCCAAAAACCGTAAAACGTCGATTTTCATAGGTTTTCAAAAAATGCTTGCATTTTTTCTATTAGGTTATCATAAATCATGCAGTTTGCGCAGGCTTGCAGCTTACGTCACACCCTATACGATGCCAGAAATTGTGGGTGCTACATTGAGTGAGAAAGAAGTTATAGGAGAAGTTGTAAAACTTATGTGCCAACCTAATAAATTTTCATCTTATCTATAAAGCTGAATGTGTGTTTGTATGTATGTATGAACGTATGTGCGGAAAAGAAATTTTCATTTCTGAACCGATTTGGACCAAACTTGGCATACATACACTTCGGGGCAGGGAGCGTGTCATAGGCTACTTTTCGTTATCGATCGATATCGATTTTATCGATTTTTTTGCAAAATTTGAGCTACGGGGGTGGGAGTTGGCACAGGGGGGTAATCGAACATGCCGATTACAAATATGTTATTGACAGGGCCGGGCGGAGCCGGGTTTGCCAACTAGTTTATCTTTAAGTCCCCTTTTCATGGTTGGCATTGGAAAGAAATGAACCACTTCTCAAACCTGTACGGCACATTAGAAATTTTGATTATTCAATACCTTCCTCATCGTGGTAATGTACACCTTGCAAAAAAAACTAACACCATACATAGCGGAACAAGAAAGGTTTTACCGCTGACGAGGAAAAATAATGATGATTAAACACTGTCACATCAATTATTTTTTTCTACTCGGAGTAACATTTCAAGTTGCAAAGAAAAAGTCAATTTTCAGAAAAAAAGTACTTTGACCTGCCGCTTTCCGTTTGTGTCGCGCAGCAAATCTTACTACAAGGAAAAAATATAAATATTCAACAGTGTAAAACGCTTCAAAAAATAGCGAAACTTTTCTCATACTTGCTAAAATATAGTTGGCTATCCTGGGTGTCACTCAATTTGCTCATATTCAATAACCCAATCTTTTCCTTTTTGGGTACATTTTAAAACTCGGTGAATTTTCGGTGGATAACTCAGAGAAGTTTTCTAGGCCTTAGAACTTACTTCGTCGTTCTAAAACTCTGGAACAAGACTTGTTACTGCTTTAACTTTTTACATGCACTTAAGGCCGAAAGAAATCCCTAAAGCCAAAAAAATATCATTGCGTTACTTGACGTCAGACCTGGAACTCAAGAACAACCGTCAAAACAAATTCGCAAACTTGTAAGTAGGTAGAGAGTTTCTTTAGTATAGCTTGTTACAATACCTCCCATCACTGCTAGGAATTATAAATATGACTATTTCAATTACTCTCGAACCATAATGGCCCATCAAAATTGAAAATCAAAAAATTTGTTGTAACAAATAATCGTCAATTGGAGGAATCTGTCACTATTTCTCTTTCCTAAAAATTTTTGATAGAAGAATAAAGCTAAACAGCAAAACCTTGTTATGAAGGTCGTCTGAGTACATGCATTTATGACAGAAGACAAAAATGACAAAAGCTAAAGATTTTCAGTTTGATGACCCCTTGTTCACAGTATAAAAATTGCGGAATATATGGCAAAGGTGTCCAGGATATTCGCCGTAGAAAAACTGCAGAATGCACGTAAGGACTGCTGAGAGAGCAAAATTTGCCCAAATATAATTATTCATTTCTCTTGAAGGAAGCAAAATAGTATTTCATTTTATTTAGGGACCTCTCTCACGCAGAGCCAAAACAAAGTCGATTTGACCTATCCCTAGTTGAATTTTACCGTAATCCCTGCTATCTGGCGATGTAAAGTACCTATTTCCTTGCCCACACAATTATGACCATAATTGCTCTTTTGTGAAAAAATTATTGGGATAAGATTTACAAGTAATTGCTCAAAAAGAATAAAAAAGCTCAGAATTTTTTTCATATTTAAATGTTCCTCAATGCCGTAAAAAATACCTGAGGTGAGAGATTCAGCGGTCGAAGCGCAAATCCAAGTAAAGCGCCCGCAACCACAGATCCAATTGTCAACACCAGCAGAAGATTCTTCCGCAACCATGGCACCATCTGAAGAGTCATAATGTCAACAGATGTCGTTTTGCACTATGTTTAAATCGTTTCCCAACTTTAAAAAAGGTATCTCAATGTTTTTGATTGATCGAATTAGAACGAGGAAGCAGATCTATGGGAAGAGAAAAATAGATAAAAACCACTTACGTTACTCATGGTGCTGGGCGGTTGAAAATAGGAGGCGGTTGAAAAAAGTTACTGAAGCGTGACGGCTGCGGAGAGATTACGACTCGAATCCAATGACGAGGTGTGGTGTGTGGTTCTGATCTGAATGGCGAGCGTTGAATTGGCGTAAAATACACGGGGCCCCCCGACAGTGCGACGACGGCAGAGATTTTGATTTGTATGAAGAGTGATGGTCTGTCATCATGATTATAGGCTTCCGCCACAATGCGCCTACGATGAAAGATGCGCGGAAGCGCGTAGAGAGCAGAGGTGACAGCCAGCTGCCAGTTACGCTACCGCCACCGCAGCGGCACCGACAGGGCCTGACCGAAAGGAAACGACTGCCAACGAATTTGAAAAAATCTACACATGGTTGACAGGGTGGGGGGGGGAGGTCAATGAGTGGCACGGCACGTGAAAGGCTAAAGCAATCGAACTCTGTCTCAATTTCTATCGTTGCTGCTCATTAGGGGCATTTAATGTGATCTCAACAGTTGATAAGCCTGAAGTGATGTGAGAATGGGCAAAAAAGAAACGGAAGTCATATTTGCTATTTTTAAGCTGTTCCCATTCCGCTATTGATAGCAAAGCAGAAGTGGCATATTCATTTTCTGAAGTAGCACATTCTGGAAATTTAGCGGGTTACAAGGTTGCAAAAGTTACACATTCATACCATCAAAGGTAGAAGTTTTGCCAATTTGAGTAGATTTACCAAATATAACATGCAATAACAAAATTAATAAAATTAGAACATGCAGAGTGACAATAGAGAGATTCAAATTAAGCCATGCAACGGAACACAACTCTTTATAAATTTTTATGGGGTCACCTAGTTTTAAATAATGACATTAACCATATTACTGCCATACAATCTCAATTATTTAGCATGATTGTGACCTAAGTTGATTTTGCAGAGCTCATTGACTAGATGCTTCCATCTAGCACCGTAACTTCCTTCCCCTAAGGTTCAACTATCAGCGCTAATATATTGTAAAATGAAAGAGATCATTGAAAGCAAAAATGAAGGTAAAAAGCTTTGGACCAAATTACAAATTCAGGGGGTGTTTTTTTCATGAAATGTGAGATTTGCTAATCGTGAAAGCCAGTTGATGTCATTAAATATTGTAAAATGGTAGATGTATACTAAACTAGTACTATTAGAATACGGATGATTCTTTTTTACTAATCTTCTTACTTCCAAAAATAATTTTTTTGGCTAGCGTCACGTGAGCAAGCCAGATGATCAAAGAGTGAGGTGGATCGTAAATTTTTGTAAAAAGCAAAAACGCTATGTCGATTTTTATGCACAGAAGCCTTTTTGCAACTGATTACTCTAGGAGATTTGATAGAGTAGGATAGAAATAAGCATTCGAAAAGTAAATGCCTAATAAGTACAAGAAGAAAGAAAAAGAAAATGTTTGGAAACAGCACATAGGTAAAAAGGTGGTTATATTCGACATGAATGAATAAGCATAGATGAGGCATTGTGTATTGCTGATGTGAGATAAAATAATTGAATGAACGCCTGTTGAGACCAAGACGACTGAACAGATGTGATGTAATGAGAGTTGCGTAAACAAATGATAAAGCATGCGAACACAACAGTCGTTCGCCTAGATCTCGCAGGATACTGCATCAATATTTTTATTGCTTGACATCACATCCCATTCTATGTGCAAGTGATGTAATACAGCACCTGACATATACAATTTGTAGAAATCAAATCGAAACAGACAGCTAGAGAAATTAACATTTGCACAGTAAGTGAGGGGCCCCCATGTGATAAGCTTTGCACTTTCTTCTCTTGACACTGCTTGTTATCTAGACGATTACTGCGGAGATGAAGTTTTTTCAAGCTCATTTTTATTCTTTCCAGAAACGAGAGGCTAAAAAAGTTTTGCATCTTTTATTGACAAAGATGCAGATTTTTGATGGTCCAACGCTTTGAATTGCTGTTTGTTCTTGCAAATTTACTAATAAAAGAATTGAAAAATCGAAAAAAAAGCTACACTGCAATGAAGCGCAAGAGCTAAATCTGTTAGAACATATGACGTCAATAGCTGAGCGGACGAGTTTGAAATTCTTGGCGGATTACTCGGAAAAGGGCAAATGAACAAACAATGATGGAAGAGATGTGAAGTTAAGGAATTTGTTGCACTTTGCATGATTTCGAGAGAATGCCAATTCATTTACATTAGAATAACTGCGCGTGGCAGTTGCAGAAATTTCCAGCAGATAAGGCAGAAATGTCTTCCTAAAGAAGTAGTACGACCACAATATCCAATTTCAAGACTCATGGAGTTTCAAGAAGTTGTGAATTTGAAATCTAGAATAAGAGGGCTTGGACTCTTGCGTAAGAGGGCAGTCACATTCTCAAAAGCGTTCGTAGGACTATATTTTTCGAAATTTTGTAAGATACCTTGATTTTTCGTATCAAAAAGTAGTAGGACCGCATTTTAGTTGACAATTAATGAGTCAGCATATTTACGGTAAATAACAGCTTTAACCTCAGAAAGATTGAACTTCAGTAAGCAGGAATCCTGTATACTTTCTGGGATTTTCAATTTTTGCTGAAACTCTCATAACTTTTGCTCTCGAATCTTTACTAGTTGATATTCAGCCGTATATTTGAAATTTTCCAATGATTTCCTTTGTATGAATTTTTTGGCCCGTACTTTGCATTTTACAATGCACTGTATATGTTTGCAGATCACGGAAGATATTTAAAAGTTTCTTGACATTATAATTTCTTAAACTTTTCCCCATATTCTTTTTAGGTACATACGATGCCGGAATTGTAGCAATGACCCACATACCAAATAAAAAGTAAAGTCAAAAATAACTCGGAATCCTGCGAGAAGATATGTATATGATAGATAAATATTTATAAAAAAATGCAGACTGTTGAGAAGAAAATGGTTTTTTTATGAGGAAAAAACTGCTTCATCGTTGTTGTAAAAAAGAATTCGAATTCTCTACGGCACGCGTTTTAGTAGTGCTACAAATATTTGACGAGTATAACGAGTAACACCAAGAGTTTTGCATTTTAGTGTGCTGCAGAAGCTGAAAGGATGATTGACGCTTATGTGCTTCTACGGTACTAGCAACATTTGCGCGTGAAAAATATTCGTGAGGCGCAACTTGAGTATGTGCGCTCTATGCTCATTCTTTATGCGCAAGCGGCACAGAATTAGATTAGCTGTCGAATATAGTTTATTATATCAGGACATTGATGAAATGAGACGACAGAGTACTGACAGATAAATAATTTGATGCACTTTTTGAACTTGAATGCTATCTTTTGAGGGTGACGTTTTCTACTACCTTATCTTGGACTTTACATATCCCTAGTGAATCATATGCGGTCAGACGAAAAACTATCTGAGTTTTGAAAAACACATGGTGGTGGAGTATGGGACAAGGTGAGGAGATGCAAAATCACAGCAGGTAACATATGTCGCAAAATGTTCCTAAATAGATAGATATTTACATAAAATGTGTGTGCAGGCTCAAATGTTGAGTATTGAGTCTTGCACAACGGGCACTCTTTACAATAAACTTTGTCACAATAAAAGTTCACATTTGCAATGACGCGATAATTGTCCGAGTACAAAATATGTGCGGCTGCACACAATCACATATTTTTGGCGTAAAAAACAATAAAAATCTATTAGCCATTACGACGAATTTTCTTCAAATTTGCTTGAAATGTGGAGGGGTGGAAAACAAAGCTTACTTCTATCTAGGACTTACGACACAACAAAATGTGAATTTATTGGTTAGTACACAATCCCACGTTATGACCCTCTGCAATGATTGAAAGGGAGGAAGAATTTTTTGAAAATGCCCAGAAAAATCTGGGAATGCCCTGATCACGTACAAGGAGAGGAGAATGGCATGATAGCCTTGACAGCGAGAGGTCTGGTAAAAAAGCGAAGGCTAGAGCAAAGTTACAAGGAATGGATAGATTTAAAATTGAGCTACCAAAACTAAAATAAAAAGATTCTACCTTAAACAGGAAAGTTCGCGTCTATTTTTGGAATCAGATATTCCTATATGCGCGGCAAATATAATATGCTGGTGTAAAAATGCAGTATATCTAAAATGTGCCTCAGGAATTTTCTTAGCACGACCATTTCACTCATCAAAAAAAATCAGTGCTGATTTGATGGTCCCTAACAAATTTGTCATATGGGCGTATAGATGTAGCGGGGTCAATTTGGCCAAAAGAATAGTTATACCAACTAAAGTCTTTCTTTTCTGTGGTTTCTGATGAAGATTCAAGGATCAAATTTTTCCTTTAGAAGGCAGTAAAAGAGACAGAGACTGAAGAGCAATTTTTCTTGCTTATTTATTGCAATCGAAAAAGTCGGTATTGATAAACAGTATATCTCTGCAAAAGACTAGTCAACTACGTTTGGAATATGATGTAAACAAAAAAAGCTGCGAATTTGCAGTAGAGCAGCCCCAAAAAAGCACGTCATTTTCCTGAGGGAGGAAGGTTTTCCCATTTTTCTTTCTGCCCGCTCTTCATTTTGATTGACGTCTCAAATGGCGTGAGGTTCATAGACGACCCCATCTATTATACATAGCAGTTCTTCGACTTTTGAAGACCAATTTACTAGTTCTGATGTACCTTCAAGAAATTGAGAGGAGGTTAAAAAAAGAAAACAAGTTGGGAGATCGAGGATTTGACAGCCAAGTTCTCCGCGCGAGAGAACCTCTGTTGTAAAAAAAATCGTGAGAAAATATTTGTATAGGCAGGTTCTAGTCTTCAAAATTGTTTTCACACTCAATCAATTCTAAAATCGTACTCGTTCATCACCTCATTGAGTGGCAGCAGTAAAAACGCGTCATGACGGCTGGCGCCGATTGTCGCGACAAAAACACAAACTGTAACGAGAGGTGAAAAAGACAAATTCTTGAGAGAAGCCGAAAGACGTATTTATTATCTGTTAGATGTTAGCCTGACAGTCAAATTTATTTGTTAACTTTAGCTATTTATTTATTTATATTTATTTATTTGATTATCTATTTATTTTTAAATAAACTTTAGCTATTCATTTATTTTCAAAAAAAGCATCATAGTCACTTTTATTTAAT